AATGCTCTTGAAATAAATATTGAGGACTATTTAGTCTTTCATGAGCTCCACATTCCTTTTTCTCATAAAGAATGTGATCTCCTTATCACTGAAACTTCTAAGGACAAAAATCTTAAAGATCTTGCCCTAGCCTGTGTTGTATTCATTAGTGTTCTAATGCTCCTACATACACACTGAATAGACCAGACATTGCTCAAATATATATTTATTTGTCTTTGTTTTCCCCATCACACTACCTACCACATAGTAGGACAGTCACTATCTGTACATGTCTGCTAGGGATAAAATAAAATAACAAGAAGTCCTTTGTTTCAATGCTCTCCCATAAATAAGACTATGCCCAAATAATTTCTTTCAGTATCCACAGAAAAAAAAAACAATTAAAATGTGAGTCTAGAGTTCAGTAGAGAGAATGGAGATCTGAGCTGGAGTTAAAAATCAAAGAAGAGTTGTTACAATCCAAAGCATTTGGAGAGAGGCAGAAAGATACAGAGAGAGAAAGAGAGAGAGAGAGAGAATGGAAATATTTGGAAATCAATGTCCACATTTGGAAGTTAAGGGAAAAATGCAAAAAAACCTTTTTTTTAAGGATTGGACAAAAACATTGGGAAAAAATTAAGATAACATGTCAAGAACGTTACAATGAAAGACCATCATGAGAGGACAGAGTCGGCTAGCTATGCTGTGGTGTGCTGTGGTAAGGAAAAGGCAGAAATGCAAAAAAGCCGTGGTTCAATGAAATAACCTAGGACTTTTAAATCATTTTTTCTGGAGATAGGTGAGAGTATAATGGATTTTAATTGAGATGCCTTTTAAATACATTTCTAATAAAGAATTGAACAAGTTAGCACCACTTCCCATTGGGCTGGACAAAATACTTGAAATTGTACAACTGTGATTCCCTGGAGAAAAGATACAGGGCACAATGTTGTATTTCTTAAATATGCTACATGGTTCAGCACAATAGTAAGCATCCAGCATATCTATAATAAATATTGTTAAATTAGCTGGCCACAAAAGCAATAAAAATTCTACTGGTGGGAAGGAGGTGGGAAAGTGTGACAGAGATGAATAACCCCAGCTGTGCCCCTCCATTGAAGTTGGGAAACTGAGAGAAAAATAGGGCCACATTTATTGCAGCGATGGAAGTGTTTGCTGACCTTAGCTGGGATCTGAATCAAAAGAGGAAAATATGGCTGAATCAGTGGAGAAGTCATTGGTGCTGAAAACAGGTTTGAGCAAATCAGGTTTAAAAAAAAGTCAAAATGCCATCTAGCAAGGTCTAGCCTTTCAAAAACACCAAGATGTGGGCAGACATTCCTGTTATGTATGTACATAAAGAAACACACTCCACTGTACATGGAGGGCATTGGGTTGGACACCCTGGAACCTGGTGGATGGGAAAAAATGGCAACTGGATTAACAAAAGGAAGAAATGGGAGGAAGGAGGGGGAAATAGGTAAGTATAAAGTCAGAGAAAGGGAAACAAAAGGTTAGAGTCACAGCATGCTATTTGTGTTTTAAAATGTTGTTTTGGTTTTTGCTAAGAGCAATTCTTAGAATTAAGAACCCAATTATCAGCTACTAGAACTCACTAATTTCAAGATTAATATACAATAGTTGATTTTTTGTTATACCATGACTGAAGTTAAAAAATCTAAGAATTCTACTTATAGGAAACTCACTATGATAATTTTTGTTTTCTATTTGAGGTGTCACTTGATGTAAACCTACTGTGAAGAAATGGCTTGAAAAATAAAAACTCAGTAGAAGAAATTAAATTGTATGTCTAAAAATATCTCAAGCATGAATAATTCTCTGTATACTGTGCCTACTCTGAAGATATAAGGATTTGCATTTAATGTGATCTACATAATTAAATCCACAATATTACCATAATGATAATACCCTCTGAAAATGTTTCATCCTAGCCACCCTTTTAAGAAACAGTATTTTTAACTTCTTATTTACTAAATGCTAAAATAGGAGAAAATGGCTTGTTATATTTTACAATCTAGAAATATTGTAATGATATCCTGAAAACTATCCCACATACAAGACTGGCCTGAGGTGGATGGAAAAAATGGCCCAGTAGGTAGAAATCTGAATTGGTCATAAACATCAAGAATGGAGGGCAGCTTTCCAAGTGAGACTTTGGCCCGAATCGACTCCGGATGGAAAAAAGCAGGCCTATCATAAAAAGAAGGTTCATATCTGAATATTATTTTACACCCCTCCCCCCCGATCAATGATATGGCCTTATGCCAGGAGGAGACAAAACTCTTCGATTATTTGTATGAACAGCAGCCAGAGGAAAACACATTCTTCACCCTTTGGAGAAGCCAAGCTCAGCATCTCCAGCAAAGACACAAAGGCTACTGGAGAGCTCTCACCAATCTCATGCTCCAGAGAAATGTAAACCCCACCTGGTCTGCAGTGCACTCAGGCATAGGGTACATCTGCACTCAGATCACTCTGGGTAGCCTAAATTTGGACATCTCTTTCAGGAGAAAAGTCAAGGACAACTCCCCATGTTGAAAAGTACAAGTGTTTAGGGAATTTACATTCTAAATTCTGACTCCTGGCTCTCAATCTATTGTTCACTTATCACACCATTTTGAACAAGCCAGCTAAACTCAGAGTCCTGGAAAATTTTTGAGTAATAATAAAAACACCACGTCATAAGTAGGGATGTGGTCAAAATTCATGTAAGAATGTCATTTAAGTGAGAAAACAAGGGTGTCTTCAAAGAAAAATAAAACATTTAAACGTAAAATACTTTAATTCAAAGATTGATTTATGAAAAAAATATTAAACCATCTGGGAATGTTATATATCTAGTGTATTTTCAATGAATGAGCTTTGTAAAAATTCAAACTAGGCCATTGGCTTTATTGGAATTTTTTTAAAGTGCTCATTAAAAGAAATGCAGCTCTTTTTACATGTTACTATATGTGAAGACCAAATAAAACACAGGGAAATTGTCCATAGATTAGTGCATTTATTATTCCATATCTCATAGAAAAAGGTTAAGAAAGCAGAATTATGTATAATATATACAATATATGAGACTATATGTGGTAAAATATATTTTATAGTCTCATTCTCTATGATATCTCATTTAAACGCAGATAAGTACAAAAAGTCATGTATTAATAGTAGTTTCATTTCTTTCACAGCTCCAGCTTTGAGAACACAATGCATTTGTATCCACAAGCGATGAACTGGAACACAGCACTGATTGGGATTATGTATGGCTTCAAGTGGGTGTTCCTTATGGAGACATTTCACTAAATGAAGAAAAATGTCCTAAAGAGGGCCTGCAAGCAGTGGCATAGGAAAGACAATAGAGAACTCAAAACTTAAAAGTACAGTTACTTAACAGAATATAAAGCTTACTTAACAGACAGAACAATTAGAGAACCCAAAACATAAAAGTCTCTTAAAACACAAAAGAGTGTCATTAGAGTTTTTAAAAATAAAACAATTTTTTAAAATCTCATCTAATTTAAATGAAAAAGTATAAATATTGTCAATATGAAATAACTCTTGCCCCAAAGAATGGAAAAGATAATATCCACTCTCGTGTCCTTTGAATTGAAGTGGATTATCAATTTTTTAATGATATGGTCTTTAAAATGAATAATTTACTTTTAAAGAAATCTAACGAAGTCAGAAAATATACAAGTTTTTTTCTACATTGGAAATCTTCTCTTTTGTTTTAATCCCATTACCTTTTAATATCTCAGCACATTAGTTCATTCCCAGATGATTTAGGGGCTACATGGGCCCTAGTGCTTCGTCGGTCCCACATCAGCCTAGGCTCACGAAATTGTTTCATTATGATGTTAGTTCAAAAGCTCTTTCTGGTGTTCCTAAATCTCCACCCGGGTCCTTCCCTCCAACACACCACACACACACACACACACACACACACACACACACACACACCACATCTTTCTCCAGATGCTGAAGGAAGATGCCTGGTAACCCTTAAGATGAGAATTGCTATAAAAAAAACAAAAACAAAAAAAAACTAGAGCTATGATATTCTCTCACATTGTTCACTCTTTTCTAATGTCCTCCCACCCCACTCTCCAAACTTGCAAAGCAGCTATTAACAGAAAAGGGCGAGTTAACAATACAGTGTGCATGAACTCAGTGTGTGTGTGTGTGTGTGTGTGTGTGTGTGTGTGTGTGTGTGTGTGTGTGTATTATGTTATGGAGAAAGGTGTGTGTGCATGTGTGTGTGTGAGGAGGGAGGAATCTTTATGTTCTGTCTGTTAAGTAAGGAAGGAGCTGAAAATGTTCCTCTCAAAAACTATTTTCTTAACTTAGCAGAAACATCAACTCTAGCTCTAAGTAACAAAGACACCCTAGGTTTGCAGGGGTGAAAGGAAAAGCGTCTGTATACAAGGTAGTTCCTAAAATTTGGATTCAGACGGGAGATGGGATCCAAGATGTCTTTAAACTTTGGAGGTAACCATTCCTGGAAGCTTTCTAGGCTGTCAGGCAGGACAAGGAGGACAGTACTGAGGACGGAACTCCACATCTCACTTGGAGACCCAGCCAAGAGTTACCAGCTGAGAACAGAGGAAGGGTTGGAAAGAAGGCCTGCTTACCCAGGCTGCCTCTCTTTCTCCCTTCCCCTATACAACAAAGCACACCTATGACTGCTCCGCAAGGAGCAAAGATGCACTCCCAGGCTCAGCACGTTCAGCAGCTGCAGCTGCAACACCCCCAAGTGCCCGGCTTAACATCCAGAAGCGCCCCTCCTCCACTCACCTAAGCACACCCTCACCCACCTAACCGACTCCCCCCAGATACGCCTCCGTTTGCTTCTGGAGTAAATCAGGGTAGAAAGCAGTCCTGCCAGCAAAAGACACCGGGCGGTCTCTGTCCCTGACTCCCACCACCATCTGCTGCACCCAGAAAAGCGACCAGGGCGAAGGTCAACTCGATGGGGCCCCTTGGAGAAGCCGCACATGCCCCTGGCTTACTTTGAGTCGCACGTGTCCTCCCGGGAGAGCTCGGGCTGCCGGGGCTGCGGGGCGAGGTGGCCGCAGGGAGAGGGGACCGCGGCTGCGGCCGGGACCGGCGCTGCTCCTGCGGGCGCGGCTATCCCCGCGTCTGCACGGATGGCTCGCGGCCCGCTGTCGCCCTCGCCTCTTCGGATTCTCCTGGGCGCTGGGGCTCTCTTGGCGGGATTTTCGGACTGGAGGGCGGGGAAGCCGATCCTGCCTTTGACTCCGTTACGCGGAGCCAGGGAGGGGCGGAGGGAGGGGAGACCGGAGAGGCGGGCGAAGCGCGGGAGGCGCGGGCGGGGCGGGGACCGCGGAGCCGGAGGCCCTGGGGAGCCGAGGATCCCAGGGGATCCCCCCCGCCAGCAAGGACTCGGATTTAACCCAGGGCCAGGCGATGGAACGCCACTTCATTTTCGCAGAGAGACGGAACACAACCAAACTTCGCGTGTGACCTATGCTTCAGAGAGGCGCCACTATCTTAAAGGGACAAATGGAAGCGTTTTAGGTTAGAGTTTGGGCCCACACCATTCTATTAATGATATTCAGGATGAAAAAATCAGGCTTTTCAAAACCAGCCTCCTTTCCCCCCAGCTGAAGCTGTCAGTCCCATGTCAGCAAGGCGCAAAATACGGAGTCCTTTTTCTCAATTGTCATAAAGAGTGACAGAGGCCTGAAAGATCCCAGTTAAGCACCACTTTCCTTTAGGGAGCTCTTTCCTTTTTCTGCTTCCTTAGTGCCTTTGGTGACCCATGTAGTGGCATGTCTTTTACACCCAAGAATCTAGGAGGTGAATCCATGTAGCTCAAACTCTGAGATTTGTGGAACGTCGGGGCTGGGCTTCATAGCTTTCTAGAATTTCCATTTCAGTCAATTGAGGAAAGATGCTATGGTCATAAAACTAAGATTGTTTGAGTCACACATAGTCAAATATTTATACTATGAGGTAAAACTCTTGTGTAAAACGATTCATAAGTAAAACACAATTTTACCCAAACATTTTCAAAATGTAAATTTTGATATTTTCCGCCACTTATCGGTTTTTCCCATCTGTGGCTTGTGTTTTTTGTTTTGTTTTGTTTTGTTTTACTTACTTTTACTTTACAGCTTATCATTTTTATGGTGTTCACCCCAAGTTGGTTGTGAAATATACTTACATTTCTCACAGTTCTGAGGTTATAGTTCTTCGTGTCAACCTGACAAATATTAATAAGCACTTTATTTACTTATAACCATCCTTAAACCCCACAATTAGACACACTGACTGGTGGCAAGTTGCTTTCAGGGATTTGGGCTCTTATATTGGCTGCTTCCTGGAGAAATGTCCCATGGAGGTGTCAGCTGGGGTCAAAAAGGTGGCTCTACAAACTCAATCAAGCAATCAGTCACTTCTTGCACAAGGAGAGGCGCCAGCAGTTAATACACTTGCAGTGTCTCCCCTAACCCAGCACTTCACACACATACCACATGCTGCTCAAATGAAAGAAAGAAATAGCATGTTGTTTTCCTTCTGCCTGCACACAGCCTTCAGCTTGCCTGTTTTCTTTTTGTGATTCTCTTTTCCTATGAAGCAAAAAATGTTTGTTTTCATCTGAATTCACCTGTATAAACTGTGGAGGTTTTCCACAGTATAAAGTTTATTAGCATTTCTCCTAAGCCCTGTACAGAAAAAGATGTATCAGCATTTACTAACAGTCCATAAGGGGACGTTTCCAGGTCATCAAAAAACAAAAAGCAAAAAAAAGACAGTTATCCATTTTCTTTTTCTTCCTAAACTGTCTTAACATCTATAAATGTAGCATACGAGTTAGGTGAACAACACCGACTTGATAGTGGTACACATCTAGCGGACTGATAAAGTACACATGAGATTCTCATTATTTCCACCCAATTATATATGTTACATAAAAAATATTATTCAAATAGGTATATGTACAAATTACTTCCATCAGTGATTGTTGATTGGGAGGAATGTTGCCTTATAGAGGACATTTGACAATGTTTGGAGATATTTTGGGCTGTCACAACTTGGGGAAGGGCATTACCTGGCATCTAGTGAACAGAGACCAGGGATGCTGTGAAACATCCTACAGTAAACAGAGCAGCCCCTACAACAAAGAATTATTTGACCCAAAATGTTAACAGGGCCAAGATAAAAGAATCCTAATGCCATTTACCATTGAATCTGAAAAATGTAAAGAAAGATTAGAGATTGTATTTTTAATAAAAAGAAATCTATGAGATTGAGATTGGTCATAATTTAATTCAACCTAGCATTTATACCAAAGTTTAAGTAGAACATATTTTTAAATACACATGGAAATATCCAAACTCAAATCCAGACTTCATCCTAGAGATTAGTCAGAGGTCTATTGATTCAAGATTTCAAGTCATTTCATTCATTGGGTCAAATTTTTTAAACACTCATGTCTTTGAGCAATACAGCCATGACGAAAAATGAATGGCAGTCCCTATACTCACACAGCTTTTAGTGTTGTTTCTAATTAATCAATTGATTTTTTTAAAGATGTGATAATTGTCATGGAAAACATAAAACAATGAAGAAGGATAAAGTGTTGATTGGGAGAGAAAATTGCCCTTGGTGTGAAATTTGAGGAAATATTTAAAAGTGTTGAGGTTGCCGGCCAAGCAAATATTTGAGAGAGGAGCCTTCAGGCAAAGGGATCAACAAAGGACTCTAGTTGTATGGGACAGGTAAGGAGGCCACTGTGGTAAGAACTCAGTGAGGAGAAGCAGGCATTCTAGTAAGTAAAAGGCTAGATCACCCAAGGCCTTTGTTCACTGGAAGAAATGCCATTTTTACTCTGAGTGAGGTGGGAAGTATTCAGAGCAACTAAACCTGACCTCACATGTTCTTTCTGTTGTGCTGAACAGATCCTGTGAGGGTGAGAGAGAAAGCTGAAAACCCAAGATGAGGCTGTGGCACGAACTCACTTCTCAGGCATCCTCCCTTCATTCCTGTTTCTTATGCAGGATAATGATCTCCACACTTGCCCTTTAACATGTTTTCTGCCCCCAGAAGCTTCTGTCAGCAGTTAGTTGGGTCTACTAATAATGCTTGCCTTCTCTCCAGTGCTCAGCCTTTCTGGGAATAATTAATGAGTCCCTGTGTGAGTGTTAGTAGGCTAAAACATAACTAATGCAGGGTGATTTGAAATCATAGAAATTATAACATGTCCTAGGGGTGTTTTGAAAATGAGGCCGCTGATTTTGCAGTGGCAAATGCAAGAAGTGTGATCAGCATGAAGTTTAAAAACGTGAAGGAACCTGCTGAAAAATTTGTCAGCTTGTCTCTCGGAGTGCCTACTTGGCAGGATGTTTAGATTCCTGATTACCCCTCCAAGCTCTTCAGTATCCCTAGCATGAAAAAGGACAATTCATCAAGCTATCACAGTGTGATACAAGCCTCATTAATACATTTCTCTTCCTCTCTCTGAAATTTTTTTTTTTTTTTTTTTTTTTTG